ACCACCGAGGCGGGAAACAGCTGTAAACACCCTTCGTACATTGCACCATTACTGGGGATCGGACCTGGCCATCAACTGGATGAGCAACGACTGAAGGAGCGGCTGTCCCATATTGTTCATCCACAGGCTCAAGACACCTCACACTCCTGGACAAGAACATTGTATTGCCAATACACGTCTAATGTTCATGACATAGAAACAAGCACTGTGACTGCACAGTAGTATTTAATGTACCAAAATCGATTATTTTAATCGAAATCCACATGTTAACACGCACCGTACGCTTAAACAAAGAATCTGGACAATGGGGAGTTCGATTGCGCTGATTTGCGTTAAAACGATATCCCCATAAGGGAAAGACAGAAATATCATGGCTTGTTAGCATACCCGTTAAACAAACACCAACCATTCTATGGATACAAATATTTTTGAAAAGGCAGCCTCGGTCTGATACGAGTAGAGATACACGCATCTATGCAATCAATTTGATTGTGGACCAGAAATAATTCCCAAACCATATGATCTCCAAAGTAAATATGTCATCATTATGTCAGCTGAATTATATGGAAATATACCTTCGTTGTCTGTGGATGTTGAAAGATAATATGCTAAGTAAATATTTGCCGGCGATTGAATCATACTCGTAGTTGTCTGTTTCATGTCCGCGATGCTGTTGTCAGCGTCACGGCTGCAGCCGAGACTTGTGTTGTACAGCGAGGTGAGAAACTCAGATATACCACTAAAGAAAGATGCCAAGAAGCGTCCGATTCTGTCATTACGCCATGACAGGTTTACGAGATAATGCGCGAAAATCAGATAATCCTCAACATTTATAAAGTAGTGCATATATTCCCGGGTCCTTTAGCACATTTCGTAACAACGACATGGCTTTGAAGTCGTCTCCATCCGCGTCCATCCGGCTTTACACGTAGATGTCAAATTTGCTCTCAATTATCCAGAATCTCACAACTGAAATGATCTTATTCTGCGTTAAAACTTTTGTGCGGTTTCATCTGTCATATACAATTACGGCTTTGCATAAATGACTGTTTATGGTTGGCTAGTGAGGAAAGTGTTTGCGTACTTGGATTCGAATTCCACATGGATGAAATAGTTTAAGGGGAAACCTGGAGATTGTTTTAATATTTCAAAATGCTTGTATCAAGCTGTGGAGCGACAAACCCTCTCCACATCACAAGAAATCTCTGCCAAGAGCAGAGGGGCCTGCGAGATTTCGAGTTATTTCTGTTACGACATTGCGTGTTCGCGAAAAGGTGAGCGTATCCTGCCACATCAGTGATACCAGTCATAAACACATGCAAAGGCTAATCAGTTGTTCACCTGAGAAGTCCCGAGAAGGAATCGCATCTAACATCATTTTTGTCACTGTTGCCACAGATTTTGATATGTCGTCCATGTGTCTACCATAAAGCTTGAGACGTCTTCTGAGGCCTTCAACGTTGTAGCCCCACCTTGGTTATAAAGAGCATGTGAGATAGTGAAGTACAAAGTCAGATGTTTCCCAGTAAACAGGTAGATAAAGAAAACAGAGTGAGTTTAGTTTTACTCCGCACCCAGCATTATTCCAGCGGCGGTCTGTAAACAATCGAGTCTGGACCAGACAATCTAGTGATCAACAGCATGAGCATCGATCTGCGCAATTGTGATACGATGGCAATTGTCTACCAGCTAGCGAGCCTGACTACCCGATCCCGAGATAAAGAAATAAGAGAAGAGATATGAATTCGTGCTGTCGACCATTTGTTTGATGTGATTACAAACAGTCCACTAAGCATCCTTGAGATTAACCGCAATAACATGTACTGTCCTAAAAGTGTGAGTCATACTAGATTCGTTTAATGAGATTATTTTTTAGTCAGCAATTTACGTACAGTAAAAATGATGATGATGATAATAATAATAAGACTATATCTTTACTTTTAATACTTCATAGTGAATTGTAAAGATGGTATACGATGGAAAACTATGTTGAGAGGCAAACGTAGACAATGTGACGTCGACAGCGTCATAACTATTGTGACGCAGTCAAACATTACATTTGTATTACCTCAACAATAGTATAGAATTTTGTGTGTGAATATTTATGAGCTCGATCATCTGGAATATTATGCATAATAAACAAACTATATCAAGCACAGTTCAAACGGCTTTTCATTGACACCATTACGAATTTTTGATGACTGAGAATTCCCCTGTGCTTAGATAAAAAATGGTTGAAGAATTGAAAATAATTTCCGCACCTGTCTCCATTTCAGGCAGTTCCTTATTTGAACAACTTGGCTTTTTGCATTTGTTGACATGAGATATGTATTGTGACGTCAAGTTCAATCAGGTAAACGGCCTGAAAACAAAGATCCACTAAACACAGCCTCCCACACCGAATGACGATACACAGTAACACAGAAAACATATAACAATAAAATAATCACTAAGCTGGCATTATGTCTGTCCGCTGAGGATCAATGTGATGGAATGGTTTGACTTGGTCTGACTGTATCACTCCCGGCTCACAATGACTAATTTACATGTCATCACTGTTGTACAGCTATGTATGACAAAGGTGTGTCTTGACGGTCTACATCATCACGTCATCACAGGTGTGTCTTGACGGTCTACATCATCACGTCATCACAGGTGTGTCTTGACGGTCTACATCATCACGTCATCACAGGTGTGTCTTGACTGAGGTACGTGTCTATATCAGCACGTCATCACAGGTGTGTCTTGACGGATGTATGTGTCTATATCATCACGTCATCACAGGTGTATCTTCACTGAGGTACATGTCTATATCATCACGTCATCACAGGTGTGTCTTGACGGATGTACGTGTCTATATCATCACGTCATCACAGGTGTGTCTTGACGGATGTACGTGTCTATATCATCACGTCATCACAGGTGTGTCTTGACTGAGGTACATGTCTATATCATCACGTCATCACAGGTGTGTCTTCACTGAGGTACATGTCTATAGCATCACGTCATCACAGGTGTGTCTTCACTGAGGTACATGTCTATATCATCACGTCATCACAGGTGTGTCTTGACTGAGGTACATGTCTACATCATCGCGTCATCACAGGTGTGTCTTGACTGAGGTACATGTATATACCATCACATCATCACAGGTGTGTCTTGACTGATGTACGTGTCTATAGCATCACGTCATCACAGGTGTGTCTTCACTGAGGTATATTTATCACCACGTTTTTACAATAGTATGCATGACAAAGGTGTGTCTAAAAATATACCAAAATATATGTCTACATCATGCATCACACAGGTGTGCGTTTACTATTTCGTATCTCGGTATGCCATCACCAGTGTGGACACCGTTGCAATACACCGCCATGAGTTGAATCCCTAGAACACAGGGTCGACTACATGTAACTGGTTCGAATCCTGTTTTCTGCCAAATATGACCATTTGTCTGATTCATTATTATATTATTATTATTATTATAGGATATTTATATAGCGCACATATCCACGCACTAGCGCATGCTCAAGGCGCTGGTATTTTTTTTATATTTATTTTTTTTGTCTGATTCATCTACGTATAACGAAAGTTGACAATATACCTGGTCAAGTGTACCTGTCAACCAAAACTCATCTGGAACGTCATCGCACACTCACTCACTCACTCCCCTATCCCTGCAGCGGTTGCAGTTGGTGGTAATGAACCTCAGATGACGTCAGTAAGGACGCTCTCTGTGATGATAACATCTACACTCATTCATAATTCACTTCAACCCCAGAAACATATTACTGCAGAAGCAATTATATCCTTGTGTGTGCAATCACATGAACATATCTAGATTGCGTGATCTCAATGAGATAATAGTTCATTATTGTGAGGGGTTGATAACGTCATGCGTTACATAATGTTTAGACTAAATAAATATTAAAGCGGGAGAAATACCATCACAAGCCAGATATAGACAATATTTCCGAGTGTCGAATGAAGTGTTTCCGACGTGCAACACCTAACGCTGTAGTGGGTCCATTATCACATCATGTTAAACACGTCACTCTGACTCAGCGTCAGTAACAACGACACTTGTCGTCACGACGACAGTAATCAAGGGACGTTATCACCAGAGATGGGGTGTATATTTCAGTTTGGACAAAGCACGCAGTTTCAATCAATATCTATAACAAGGTTTTGAATTAAGAATTCACAGAAAGACAACTATGGAATAGCGCGTAAACACTTGTATTTTTACTACTACGGACTTCTGCAAAATATGCAGAATTTCATATGAAACATAAGCAACATATTGTATATTTAATATATGCGCAAATATATGTACAATGTCAATGATTAATCATACCAATCTTGTCACCGTCTTGTCAATGCTTGTAATCAGGATTGTTGTTCTTAATTGTTTTTGTGTTTGTTTTATTTGTTCTCTATTTTTTGTATTTTATTTGTTTGGGGTTTTTTGTTTGTTTTTGGGGGGAGGGTTTTATGAGATGGGGTTAGGTATTTTATTGCTGCTTTTGGGGGGTTCTTGTCTTGATGTACCATTATGCAATGGCACTTGGTCAGACATAATATAATTAGCATTAACGCCACGCGGGAGAACCCAACTTCGTGTCCGACCCCGCGGGGGTGGGTAGACGCAAGGCTCACCATAGTGCAAGACAATCTAGATAACGATGTCTCCTAATTTCGTTAGTCCCATGTGAGCTGGAACACGCGATCCTTCGTGCCGAGACGTGCTTGTCTCCTTCCGAAAAACCTGTTGACTTTCTGCCATTTTATTTGCCTAATGTATCTAATGTGAGACACGTGCAAAAAGAAATAATAAATTAATCACAGGAAATGAAAATTGGATTGGAATCGTGTGCGCTCATTTTTTCCACGTTCATCGTTTGAATGTGAAAACAGATTTTTTTTCAGTGTCTGGACTTCTTTTTTTATGTGTGTCACGGTACACAATGTCTGTGTACTGGGTACAACTGTAGTTGAAACTACAACACGTTCCCTATTCTTGGAAGCAACAATATGTACACGCGTTTAAAAAAATCGCTGTATGAAAGTGTGCTGCAGATATTTTCATGTGTTTGCAAGTGTTGGTGGTATCTGTGGGGCAGGATGAACACCTGGTGGAATCTGTGGGGCAGGATGAACACCTGGTGGAATCTGTGGGGCAGGATCAACACCTGGTGGCATCTGTGGGGCAGGATCAACACCTGGTGGCATCTGTGGGGCAGGATCAACACCTGGTGGCATCTGTGGGGCAGGATCAACACCTGGTGGCATCTGTGGGGCAGGATCAACACCTGGTGGCATCTGTGGGGCAGGATCAACACCTGGTGGTGGCTTCTGGTGGGGGCAGGATCAACACCTGGTGGCATCTGTGGGGCAGGATCAACACCTGGTGGTATCTGTGGGGCAGGATGAACACCTGGTGGCATCTGTGGGGCAGGATCAACACCTGGTGGCATCTGTGGGGCAGGATCAACACCTGGTGGCATCTGTGGGGCAGGATCAACACCTGGTGGCATCTGTGGGGCAGGATCAACACCTGGTGGCATCTGTGGGGCAGGATCAACACCTGGTGGCATCTGTGGGGCAGGATCAACACCTGGTGGCATCTGTGGGGCAGGATCAACACCTGGTGGCATCTGTGGGGCAGGATCAACACCTGGTGGCATCTGTGGGGCAGGATGAACACCTGGTGGCATCTGTGGGGCAGGATCAACACCTGGTGGCATCTGTGGGGCAGGATCAACACCTGGTGGCATCTGTGGGGCAGGATCAACACCTGGTGGCATCTGTGGGGCAGGATCAACACCTGGTGGCATCTGTGCATCAACACCTGGTGGCATCTGGGGCAGGATCAACACCTGGTGGCATCTGTGGGGCAGGATCAACACCTGGTGGCATCTGTGGGGCAGGATCAACACCTGGTGGCATCTGTGGGGCAGGATCAACACCTGGTGGCATCTGTGGGGCAGGATCAACACCTGGTGGGGCAGGATCAACACCTGGTGGCATCTGTGGGGCAGGATCAACACCTGGTGGCATCATATTTTATGGACACATACTTATGACTCATTAGATGTCTCATGGATGTGGAAAGGGTTTTGTTGCTTTTATATCCATGGCAAGTTCTGATGTGTTCTGATCGGGTGGTCAGGCTCGCTGACTTGGTTGACACATGTCATCGGTTTCCAACTGCGCAGATCGATGTTCATGCTTTTGATCACTGGATTGTCTGGTCCAGACTCTATTATTTACAGACCGCCGCCATATAGCTGGAATATTGCTGAGTGCGGCGTAAATCTAAACTTACTCACTCACTGATGTGTTCTGTATGTCAATATAGTTCCCTGTTATGTTCTGTATGTCAATATAGTTTCCTGTTATGTTCTGTATGGCATTACAGTTTCCTGTTATGTTCTGTATGTCAATATAGTTTCCTGTTATGTTCTGTATGTCAATATAGTTTCCTGTTATGTTCTGTATGGCATTATAGTTTATGTTATGTTCTGTATGTCAATATAGTTTCCTGTTATGTTCTGTATGTCAATATAGTTCCCTGTTATGTTCTGTATGGCATTATAGTTTTCTATTATGTTTCATATCGCCACATAATGTCATGCAAGTGCTCTGCTTGGTACTGTAGTGTGCTCTTTATGGCAACAGAGTATCCCTGTGCGCCCTCCTTGACATTATAATGTCCTGTTGTCTTGTTCTGCAATATGGTGTTCTGTTTAGTTCTGCATAACAATAAAATAGCCTGATCTGTTTGATTGGCATTTTAGAAGTTGGTGAGTAATAAGAAAGTAAGATTCTTTATGGATAACAACTTCTTTATTATATATGATGCGACGTTTCGGTATGGATTCTTATACCGTTGTCAAGCAAGAGACAACTTCTTGTTTGACAAGGGCTTAAGAATCCGTGCTTTTATAAGATCGGAAAAATCAGTGCAAACAAATCCCCATTTTGTCAGTATCCCCAGAAACAGATGCCGTGTGGTGTAAATGGGAACTATTGTGGGTGTTCCTTTGTACATTAAACTGTTCCGTTTATTAATGTTATGAGCATTACTGTTGTGTTCCAGTGAAATGAGAGCATGAAACTGAAAGTGTAATTGTAAAAGTACATTGTCTGAAAGTTTCATAATGTTTTGTTAACGATACAGTTTTCATATCAGCATAGCCACGCCTGCTTGAACCTGAATCCACACAACTGACATTGCGCCGGTTGTAATCACTTATCACATGATAGCGACTGAATACAGACACTCATGTATTAACGATTTACTGTTCTAACATCACCCACCCGCTTTGACGATATATTTGAGACTGTTAATACGTTAAGCCTGAAGAGATTATTAACGCTCCACTCATTCACTTGCAATGTAAATAATGTTAGTTAACCGGCAGTAAATATTTGCCAGTCTTTAACAATACATGGATGCCTTGCCTACCCACCTATGTGTGGGTTTATTAGAACTGTTTAAAACATAGGGCTGGGGACACTTCAAAACTAGGATCACTTTAAATGCGGTATTCGATTTCTCCATCTTTTGTAGTTATTGCCAGTGTAAACAGGTTAATTTGGAGCAGCGGACGGGACATGCAAAAGCTATTTACTTCAAACTGATTAAATAACACACAACGGGAAATAATAGATTTTATGCTGGCTAAATATGATGATTATAAATTTCACTTGTAAACATTTGCATTGGTCGTTGTTCCAACAAAGGCTTTCATCTTACCTAAACAGCGATGAAATGAGATTTCCGTCAGAACGTTGATGGCAGTAACAGCGCAGAACGTCAGCGTGTGCGGTGACGTAGAAGAATGAAATAAGAACACTTGTCATTTGTTATTGTCGTAAGCCAACTACATGATCTGAAAATTTCATCGATTGAAAGATGTTTCAGTCAACACAAGACCACTGGAACATCTTCTAATATCTTGGTTGGTGGGAGATGCTTAGGTTCAATGTCAATTTACATATCATATCCTATTTGTTGAATCGCCATATGTGCGTGTGTGTGTGCCTATGTGTGTGTGTGTGTATGTGTGCGTGTGTGTCTGCGTGTATGTGCGTGCGCGCGCGTGTGTGTGTGTGTGTGTGTGCGGTGTCTGTGTGCGTGCAGTGTGTGTCTGTGTGCGTGCGATGTGTGTGTGTCTGTGTGCGTGCGGTGTCACTGTGCGTGCGGTGTGTGTCTGTGTGCGTGCGGTGTGTGTGTATTTATGTGTGCGGTGTGTGTCTGTGTGTAGCTATATTGATGTTTGTGCCTGTGTACGTGAGGGCGTGTATGTGTGCGAGAGTGTGCGTGCGTGCCCGTGTATGTGTGTGTGCGGATGTGTTGCTCTGTGTGTATCTGTGTGACTGTGAGTGTGTACGTGAGAGCGAATATGTGTGCGTGCGTGTATGTATGTGTGATATCAGACTTGTCTTATGACGAGATGACTGCAGATTGTGTATTACAGAATTTATATATTCAAAATGATAAAATCTAACTAATATATCATAAAAATATCAGCGCTGATAGTGATCACGCAGATGTCGACTCAAATTAAGTAAAAAGATATGAATAACATTAATGACTAATGTTTGCGTGGAAATATGAATTTGATCATGATACCGGAATTAATACCGTCACAATGAAAGGCTTAGGTACAAATGAGCTTTTTGTGCCTTAACATTAGTCTATGCAAAGTCAGTGAAATGGAAACAGTTTTCAAAACTGTTAATAACATATTGAAAATTGATATCACTATTATTAATATGCTTATTAGGAATGTACTTGTATTTGAACACTTTGAATCTTTAAAATATTTAATGTTATAGATATTTAATGTTACAACAGCATTTTTAACACGAAGCTTAATAGACATACCAAAATCGGTTTCCATGATTTCAAGTATTTTGGAGTAAACAACTCAACACCATGTACACATTGTTCCTAGTATAGACACATATGTGGATACAATGGAACCAAAGCGACAATATCGTTCCATTGTAAGTACATAACGGTACATGACAATTAGAATAGATTACAGCATTTGTATTAGACGCTTTACATTGGCAACAATAATCCAACCTAATGGAATGTATCGAAGTACACTTTACGGTAGGTTTTAAACAAAATAAAGGCACATGAAACGCCCGTCTTATACTTTAGGAGACTAACTGACCATTTTAGTATTCATCCCAAGCCTACTGACCAGGCAAATGCCCATGTGTCTTTCATCATGTGAACAATTCTACCGGTTATCTGGTGGACAGGGACAGTAGAATGTCCATGTTAATTTCCCTGTGTCAAACAGTTACAATTTTACATCAAGTTAACAACACCACTCACAGGATCTATGAATATATCTCTCAACACTTCAGTGAAGGCTGACGGGTAATTTCCCTTTCAGTGGGATGTATTTCAATATCGTCACGTGACCATATCCAATTTTGCTGAACAATACTTCAAGTGACCTTTAATTCGATTATTTAGGGGAATAATTTACTACCCTAATAACACAGCGTTGTCGCTGTACTGTCTGTCAATACCCCCGAGCTATTAGTACAACAAATCACACACTCCGATGCATATTTCACCAAATCTTTGGTTATCAATTTCTAAATGAATATGCTTAACGACTGAGTGGCGCTGTAATTGACCGATGTTGATTTCATCAGTGACATGCCCTATAAAGGGTTACGGACTGTTATAGGTGTCAAAATGGGAAATCGACACGTGTGGATTATACGAACGACATTGCCTTGCCGCAGTTGCGGATGATCGATTAGATAATTATGGATCTACTTTTAGATCAAGCTGAAAATATGATGTGAAAATGTCTGATTTTGTTTGAAACAATACCGAGAGATATATTGATTGAAGCATTAAGTGCTATTCCCCGGGTTTTTCGATTCGGAAATATTTTGATAACTATTTTTAAAGAAGTCGATATCACATACATGTGTATTATGACTTTACCTCTCTAAATGCATGTGTTCTTGTTTTCATAAACTCGAGATTCTGGGTTTAAATTAATGATACAATACTTGTTGATGGATCTTACTTAATGATACAATACTTGTAGATGGAGTTTACTTAATGATACAATACTTGTTGATGGATTTTTCGTAATGATACAATAGTCGAAGAAAAATCACATGTTCATTTATTGAATGCAAAGTTCCATGGCTTTCACACAATCCGGACGAGCTGTATCAAAAAACACCAAGAAAACCAACTGGCCTCTAAACGTGAAGCGTTCCTCATAGTTAAAGAGTATTCCTCAATTAGATCAATCAGAGATCGATGACGGTAATTACAGTAGAACAATCAAGATTCTGGACGATACCAAAACGCATGCATGTATTAATACCAGAGTAACTAGCGACCATACAGGAACATCACAGATCCTCACCATATACATACAGCCGGCGCGCTGTTCCATGAAGCGATCTTAGGGCGACCTTTAACGTGAATGCTAACTCCATTCTACTGTCAGTTCAGTTCTTTATTGTGTGGTACTTTAGTGTGGGCCAAAGCCCTTAAATGTAATATCTGATCCACCATAAAATAGTTGGCCTTCTTGACCATAAGCAGAAATTGAGGACGCTGTTCCACGCAGCGACCTTTGAGCTAACCTGCGAGTCGTAACTACCGCAGCCATTCAAATCTTAACGCAATTGTTTATTTCCTTACTTGCGTTAGCCAATGGATCTTGCTACAATGGTCCACGGTGCAGTGAGTGGTCCAACCAAGGACCATTATAGTTACATTTACAACAGAAGCAGATGCAGCTTCAAGAAAATACCAAACAAGCTGAATTTCTGTTTAGAGGAGATAATCATGTTGTATTTAATCTGAATCAGATGAGTAAAATATTTATTATGAATTTATCGTCGTGGTGCTAATTCTTCCTTCCTCAAGTCGGTTTTGTACGTACGTCTGTCGTAACTGTTATACTTATCATTGATTTACGACAGTCCTGCCAGGTCGATCAGTTTGAACACATGGGTAAAAAGTACCCTCCACAATGTGATTTTACCCTTATGCGTACGGTGGTCGTAACTCCGATAATCTACGATAGATTTACGATAGTCATAACTGGAAGACCAGTTTGAAAATATAGGCTAAGGTTCCGTCTACAATGGCATCTTAGCGTTATGCGTATTATTGTCGTAACTTCGATATTTTAGCATAGATTTATCGATAGTCGTAGAGTTATGATCAATGCGTGCCACTGGGACACTGTCTATTTCCGGAACGAGATCTAAATGGCACGACTGGTGGTTTGATAAAGAGGCGCAATAGTCGAAGCATAAAATGACCAAGTTTTTATCTTCTAAATATTGACTGCTAATCAAAAGTAGTTCCCCCTTTGTCGAGGCATTACTTTATTATCTATGGTTTTCATTGTGTTATTGTAATATAATTGCATTCTTTGTTAGCTTATTCATAATTGTGTCTAAACATGGTATTTTAGCACAGCTTGGAGCAGACTTTGAACTGATTTTCGTGGTAAGGTAGCAGAATCTCAAGCTGGTGTTACAGGTTACACTCAAGTATAGTGGAGGCCCTGCAAAAACAAACTACCTTTTTGAAAAGCCATTGCCATGAATTTAAGATTAATGTAAAAACAAATAAAAACAAAATTCGTTGTCTTTAAGAATGGCGGTAAATTGTCCAAATCAGACAAGTGTCTGCATATCGGAGATACTTAGATCTTGCTGAGGGGTATAAATATCACAGTGTCCATTTTGCCAATACGTTATCATGGTTTCACCATGGGACGAAAGGTCTTCAGGGGCATTTACAGGAATTTAAAGAAATTGGGCAATGTAAATTTCAAAACTTTTTTCAAAATATTTGATACAAAAATTAAACAAATTCTGTTATATGTGGCAGAGGTTTGTGGGTTTACTAGTTTGGAAAAGGTTCACTTGTAAGCGTGTAAAAATACGTTTTAGGAATTGAATTGAATACCCCAAATGTGATGATTTATGGTGAATGTGGACAGTAGAAGCACAGATAAAAGTATAAAAATATTAGGTAAAGCTCAAAACTTGGATATGCCTGTGTCAAGATTTCCTAAGAAATATAACATGCTGTGTTTGTTTGACACTAACGGAAAATCTAATTGGTTAGCGAATGTCAGAAATTTACTAAATCACACAATTAGTTTCCTAAATATGTCACAAATATTTTTTGCCCAAGGTAAGTTTATAATGCCATTTCACAAAGATGAAAGATATGTACATTCAGACCTTCTCTGTCATACAGACCCTGAAACAAACAAAATATCGAAGAAATCCCATGCAAGGCAGAATATGTGGCAAGTCTAGATTTCAACAGTGAAGAAAGTCTGTGAGCTCATTTTCATTATATTGCATGCTTATTTGTTATGAACAGTTTTTTCTGTAAAATATGTTCATTTCAGAGACTAGATGTCCAATTCAGACCTGGAATTCATCTTTAAAATCGTCGCCAAAATTCACTTTTTACAGTACTTTTAAATCTGTTCAAAATGCAGAGAAATATCGCCACGATACTTATCTAAGAAATTTCTTCGTTTCATTATCATAATTTAGATGTTCTTCACGTGATCATATGATCAAGAAGGGTAGATATTAGAATATTCAAGAGAAAACAGATCGTGTAAATTTTTTCCACTTTTTGTTGATATGTCCTTACGACACTGATTTTAAGGACAAAATATCTACCGCAATATTACCAAACATAAACTAATATGTGTAAATCTAATTTGTTACTGAACGCTATTAATGCAAGGAATAGTCGCAAACTTCGATGTATATCCACCATGCTTTTGTATATAGATACAACTGTCTGCAAACATTGTGACTGTATGCCTTTGTTTCTATTTGACTTTGTACTACAGGCCTGTAGCCTCCTCGGCACTGGAATAAAGAAGGTTACACTACTACAGTTAATATTGTCTTACAGCATTCGTTGATTCAAAGGTATGTTTCAGAGAAGGGGGGTAATAAGGGAGGTACAAAATAAATACTAAAGTAAGAACCATGACCTTACCAAATTAAAACGTTCTTGTGTTGATCTGAGAAGTTTTAGCTTCAGTACGATGCAGCGGTACTTTCAGTATTTAAACTGTATTGAATTTGGGTGCCATATAGGAGAAAGACAAGGATGCATATTACTTCCTTTCTTCTTTCTTTCCATATTAATGAATTTGTCACGGAAATAGAAGGTAGATATCATTATGTTATACAATTACATCACATTATACAATTGTTTTCATATTGTAATGATTTTTGATACACTGGGTTACAACATCAAATCATTAGAACGGTTTTGTGAAGTCATGTCCAACTATCAGTATGTGAAAAACTAATGTATCGTTTTCCAAAACGGAGTATATTAACAAAAAAGGAGAAAGAAGTCATTTTATAAAGTCCAGGTATTACATTTTGTGACTAAATACAAAGAACAGGCGGTGCAGCATTTCATGTTGTTGTTTTAATTTGTGTGTGTGGAGGGTGGGGGGTGGGAGGAGTTGTGATTTATATTTCCAGCATGATGCGGAAATGATGTTGCACGGTGCCGAAGTGTGACAGATTTAGACTTACGAAGTATTGAGAGAGTACAAGATTAGGATGGACATGCGATTTGTGAGTTTAAGCTATCACACCAACTGGGCATGGCGAAAATGGTAGATTGGCATATTTTGATATGCACGGTGTAACTTACAAAGTATTAAGTAAAAGAATTACATTTGCCTTACAGACATCGAAGCTATCGATGAAAATGTCAAGAATTATGTCACTGTATGATAATCCCCAAAACGTAATCTGGATGTATAAGAATTCTATGAACTTACTTTTGTCTAAGTCTGACGGTAGAAGATCCAGCATGTGATTAACAAAGACAATCAAAGACTATACAAGACTAAAGATGAGCACATACAGAATTGGTACCACCCAAAAATAAACATTATGACTGAGTAATGTTTAAAAATTCATTATGAAACTGACGAATAATTTTTGCCATCTCTTTTGCACAAAAATATGTTTTTCTAATAAAGGCTTATGGCATTTTCATAAAATTGATCAGATAAGACGCACACAAATATTGAAAGGACATACAGTTTGAACAATCTGAATTAAGAAGAAACTAGAAGATGAGTGCAATATTTTCTTTCTATATCCAGTATATAATCAGTGGCCGCCACAAAACCCTTGAAATAAAGTTCAGGCCGTATGTTGATTTCCTGTTATACTAACTCGGACACAACCGCTATTTTCCATATACATCCTTCAAAGAAGGAACAATTGGAGATGCATCGACTGTATAGAAGAAATCTGAAATTGGCATAATACAGACATGTAAAAACGAGATTGTATTCCGAGACATGATTCACTGACGGTTACAATTGCCAATTTGATGCGGGTTACAAGCCTGGATCGCTCCTGTGTCAAACTAAACAAATCGCGCCTTCATTTCCCATCCACGAAGACACCGCTTTTATCAGTCCGAAATGTCAAGCAAAACATTATCAACATAAAAATCAGCAGTCATCGATCACATTGCTACATGCATCAATAAAAAATTGCAGATGCATTATTCGAAGCGTTTCCCATTCTCGACCCGCACGGAGGGATGAATACCGTTATTTCCCCTTTTGTTTCGACGTCAAGACGCCGTTACGTTCGCATCTCTTTTGAACAATCACGATTGACTCTGTGAAGTAAAGCCCCCTGTCGTGAATCAATTGCGACATTTAGAGAATCCAACTTGTTATCTATGTTGTAGCTTTGAAAACCATATCCTCGACTCAAACGATTGCACTTGATAACACACGAATGAACTAAAAAAATAGAAATAAATTAAAGGATGTTTATATATTCAGTTAATCTGATGTTGCATAATTGCTTTTTCTTGCTGCATCTTATGGAAAATATTGATAATTACATAACAGCTATTGTTTGTGTTTATTTAGTTAAATGGGTGTGAGAGTTATTGAGATTGGTTAATGAGGTGTATGAAGTACCATTGATAACGTGTTACCCCCTGAAGGGGGATGGCAGCCATCAATGGACCGTCTCTCAGGGGACCTGCCAAACACGTCGCCAACAACCGCAGCGATATGCTCCCTTTTACAGCTACTACATTGCCAGTGCAGATGAAATTCGGTATAACCGATTTAGTTCTCGTTTTCTTTCATTCAAATACTATCGGGACCCAGTTCTACATAGCGATCTAAGCTGTAAGACTCACGTAGTCTCCAGACTTTTGCGTACCTCGGTCTCCCTTCCATTAAACTGTCTAACGGGATTGCGTCGGGTTAATGCTTTACGACGTTCTAAGTCGTGTGTGGAACGGGACACAAGCAACAAATTGTGTTTTTTATCTGTTCCCAGCAGTACACTTCACTCAGATCTTTTTGTAACGAACTACATGATTGTAAAATCAACTCAATACATCCGAAGTGGTTTGTCCACGCACGAAAACAAACAACGGGGGTATCAGACTGTTTGGCTGTTACCGACTGTACGTATTATGGTAAATATCTCATTCGACTAGTAACAGAGAACCTCCTATACACAAGCCCCGGGCCCGTCCTCTGGTGCCGTCCTCTTTCCTTTACACCACACTCTCCTATACACAAGTCCCCGTCCTCTGGTGCCGTCCTCTTTCCTTTACGCCACACCCTCCTATACATCACCCCTCCTATGTTCCCGTCCTCCTTCCTCACACTCTCCTATGCCCCGTCCTCTGGTGTCGTCCTCTTTCCTTACACCACACCCTCCTATACACAAGCCCCCATCCTCTGGTGTCGTCCTCTTTCCTTACACCACACCCTCCTATACACAAGTCCCCGTCCTCTGTTCCCGTCCTCCTTCCTTACATCACACTCTCCTATACACAAGCCCCCGTCCTCTGGTGCCGTCCTCTTTCCTTACACCACACCCTCCTATACACAAGTCCCCGTCCTGTGTTCCCGTCCTCCTTTCTTACATCATACTCTCCTACACACAAGCCCCCGTCCTCTGGTGTCGTCCTCTTTCCTTACACCGCATCCTCCTATACACAAGACCCCGTCCTCTGGTGCCGTCCTCTTTCCTTACACCACACCCTCCTATACACAAGCCCCCATCCTCTGTTCCCGTCCTCTTTCCTTACACCACACCCTCCTATACACAAGCCCCCATCCTCTGTTCCCGTCCTCTTTCCTTACACCACACCCTCCTATACACAAGCCCCCGTCCTCTGTTCCCGTCCTCTTTCCTTACACCACACCCTCCTATACACAAGCCCCCGTCCTCTGGTGTCGTCCTCTTTCCTTACACCACACCCTCCTATACACAAGCCCCCGCCCTCTGGTGTCGTCCTCATTCCTTACACCGCATCCTCCTATACACAAGACCCCGTCCTCTGGTGCCGTCCTCTTTCCTTACACCACACCCTCCTATACACAAGTTCCCGTCCTGTGTTCCCGTCCTCCTTTCTTACATCACACTCTCCTACACACAGCCCCGTCCTCTGGTGTCGTCCTCTTTCCTTACACCGCACTCTCCTATACACAAGCCCCCGTCTTCTGGTGCCGTCCTCTTTCCTTACACCACACCCTCCTATACACAAGCCCCCATCCTCTTTTCCCGTCCTCTTTCCTTACATCACACCCTCCTATACACAAGCCCCCGTCCTCTCTTCCCGTCCTCTTTCCTTACACCAAACCCTCCTATACACAAGCCCCCATCCTCTGGTGTCGTCCTCTTTCCTTACATCACACCCTCCTATACACAAGTCCCTGTCCTCTGTTCCCGTCCTCTTTCCTTACACCACGCCCTCCTATACACAAGTCCCCGTCCTCTGATGTCGTCCTCTTTCCTTACACCACACCCTCCTATACACAAGCCCCCGTCCTCTGTTCCCATCCCTTGATTCAAGACGACCGTTCCCCGTTCCCCCCAAGCCTCAGCTCAGTCAACAGTCTTCTTGCCCATGAGAAATCGGAATATACATGAATGTTGTCATTTTATTATGATGCAGATTTTTTATGATCTCCCTGACTTACATACATCTGTTCGTTGGGAAAATATTTAGTCAATGCAAATTCAATCTCGCAATGCCACGTTTTTGTAAATTATTTTATCTCGGAAACGAAACTCAGTTAGGTACGTTCTCTGTCCGGTCATGCTGAGATACGGTGATGGGCAACCCTTACAAACATGACGGGACAAACAGACCTCACAGATGTTTTTCCATCTTTGAAAAGTAAAACTTCGGCCGACGTCCACAAACAGTATAAACGCACACCTGGGAGTACACAATGCATGTATTTACAAACAATGTGTTGTTAATGGACTGATCTCAGCAGGGATGTTTCATTGGCAAACATTATCATAAACTACGTGATATGTTTGTGGTGGTTTAAAGAACACATTCAAGGCCATACTTTCTTTGAAAATAAGTGTCCCAGAAAGGTGAATTAGTGTGGTGTTATGCTGATGGTAACGGCAGGGGACACCGGAAATTGGCATCATCTGTGTTCTTGTGGGGAATAAAACCCGGTCCTGCAGCGTGAAGAGCGTGCACCTTGGCCACTTCGCTACCCTACCTCCCCAGTCGTATGGACACATGTCACCTTGGTCGAAGACCTCAACAATGGCGTCTTCAGCCACATGCTGTTTGACCTGCAGTTGTGACCTTGAGACTTTGGGTCCGGAAATTGAAACAACAGGCGCCAACACCAGTGGAGAAGTAACAACAAATGAATCATCTGCTGGCCGGGTGTTGAGATAACGTCCAACAAAGGCCTCTGTTCTCTTGAGGTGTTGACAAGCATTTTCTTATCATATATCTAATAAATAAATATTTGTCACCGAGTACAATGAAGTAATGATTTAATAATTTGTTCAGTTCTGTGTGATGGTAGAATATTTTGGCGGGTTTAATTAATATAACTACGGTCGGGTCGAGGATATCTGTTTCGTTTTTTAGGGCGATGGAGCAAAACCACAATAAGGGAGATAATCAAGTAACGTATCTATTGTGATAACCCCTACAAAAACCAGGAGCGCTGGTTGTGATGTTTCAAACTGATAGGTGTTCAAAATTCCGTAAAGGGATGGCAGAAGAAGGCTGGAGAAGGATTCCATTTTTTCAGTTTGATCTGCATGGACGCGGTTTTACGCTTAATGCACAATCATGCAATCATGCATAGGTTGAATAATACTTTGGCACGATCTGTTCGTTGTATCAAATAGTGCATGAACAGGAGAAAAAAGGTCTTCATTTATAATGCAGTGCATGTTCTAAATTAAGTTACTTACATATTTAAGGAATATATTATATCACGTTGAATATTTATGAACAATAAATATTGAAAACACTTTTGCTGAGACATATGCCATATGTTGAATGTCATTTCAGTTTTGAAATAACAGGTTCCGGCTGTGTCACTGCTTGTAAACGATCAATTTGGCACCATGTTGCCATGAACTGACCATGTTAAAAATAGATCATCTCATGGGGTGCCATATACCAGTTACCAAACGTGGAAATTCTTCCTGATAATGCCATAAACATTACCAACCATATATCATAAGCAGCATATTTATAATTACCAAAGTTGATTGACGTTGTTAGTTAGTTAGTTAGTTAGTTAGTTAGTTAGTTAGTTAGGCCAAACAAATATCTTTACAGATGTTGCACGCGAGAGCTGTTTGATTCATAAAATTACTTTCTGAAGTAAATTATATCTATGCTTTCCCCATAATATCAATTCTGATTTTTCACAAGATGTATTTATTCCATCTTTTTTAGAAAACACGCACAAAATAGTAAGGACTTTCGAATACTTTTTAAAGATTTCTTTAACTCTAACGAGTGTGTGGTGCCAGGCAACTTTATAGTTTGAGAAGTTTGCTGGATGAAGATGCGGTTGTTATCCCCACCCTTGACAGTTCATGACGTCGGCCAGGGCAGCACGCAGTAGATGACGGAACCCCCTGGCATATCTCCAGTATCAGAATGGTTAAATTCTTCTTCGTCATCAGGTTTTCAAATGTAAAAGTTTGTTAAATCCAACAAGTAACAGTTTCATTATTTGAAAAATCAAATTTGGAGAAACAATATGAAAAATCCTGTGATGAAATATGACAAATACCTGCAAATGAAACACCGCTCTGATCATCGAGATTTGACAAACGGATCTTGTTTAATTCAAACTTTTTAAGTACCACATGTTTCTTGTTTGAAAGTTTAAAAGGAAATTGTTAAATGATTAAAGCACAGCATTTGACTCATTCGAATGCCTTGTAATGAAACCATGAAGTTCAGTCATGCCAGGCTCTCCTTTGCAAAGTTAAATATTATCTAAGGTCTAAAAGCACTCTATGTTCTTGTACTTTAAAACGTTCCAACTGAAACAATTCTTTATTGAAGTGTAACTAAGTCCTACCTGAACTGCCTGTGGCTGTTTCCAGTACACTAGCTAGTATGTCCCCCACACTCCTTTCATAACGTGTGTTCTCAGACAAGCTCCGCACCTCGACACTAATCAAAGCTCAATGCACGGTCAGTTCCATACACACATTGGGACGGCCGACGGATCAAATGCCGTTATATATCGGAACGGAAGTCGCTAAAGAGTCACGTGACTCGTTGGCGAGGGACGCTAAAAGCGTGCCTTCCGTCTTCCTTAAGCCTGTCGTAGTAATTGGCTTTCAATGGAGGGACTATTGATCAGAATGACGCTAGCATCCCCGGGCCAGCTCAAAGAACCACATGCATTTAAAGGTGTGCTGGGGGGCAGGTCACTACAGGGTCCAGATGACCATTTGCTGGACAAAATGCATGTCGTGGACTCTCTTCTTCCATGAACTTTGCCACGTGGAACATGGGGCTTCGTTAAGAACAATGGGTGGTGTTTGTTACAATTTCAAGGGTCAGAATTTGATAGATTGTTTTCCTCATTTACTACTTTCCTAAATTGACTTACAATTTACACGAGTGACAGGCTGAGGAAAACAACGTGTTGTTTTGGGCTGGATTCATCAGAATTTAGGATGAATTATATTTTTAAACGTCCTGCTTTCATGACGGATGTTGTGTTGAAGAGTCCCCGAATCAATACTTATTTCATGCCATGTAACGATGTGTCGCGTGGTCACATTCATTTCACGTCAAACAGTCTTCTAGAACTCGTTGTTGGTTGAAATGTAGGTGCACGAACTGTTACCGTTACAGCTGGCGGTCGCAATGCTGCAGTGTGTTGTTGTAGCCTAAGGGTATTCGAGTCCGCTTCCAGCAAACTTCCTTCCATGTGTAACTAATTGAGTATTGACAGACAGTCCAGTGGTTGATATTATGAACACTGATCGATGACTTCCGGGTACGATGATGCAACCAACTCACTGTCGAAATGACAGTTGTTTCAAAGTAAAAACTTGGCCCCTTCTAATTTAGTCACAATTTCCGGTTGTGTCGAATCTTCGTTACCTCGGCGTACTTTCTGTTTCAATACAGAACTGAATCCATATCAGAACTAGAATCGCGAGTTTCACTCTTTAAAGCTCAACACAACAATATTCCAACGATACGACTTGGTTCCTGGAGCATGGGATTAGCGGTTACTGCTACTTGCCTTGGTTTGGTTGTTTAACGGTTTGGCCTGTTGCCTTCGAAAACTTTGTCCACTGACTGACATCATGAGCATCGATGTACGTAATTAGGGTACAATGATATGTAACTAAGTCAGCGAGCCTAACAAGAAACCGTCAGCGAGCCTGACCACCTGATCCCGTTAGCCACCTCTTACGACAAGCATGGGTTGGCTGAAGACCAATTATAACCCGGATGTTCACGGGGGTACCCCAATATCAACACAGGTCATGACCCACAAACGTCTGCAATTAAACTGATTACTATATTAATTTTCTATTAACTACCAGGGAAAAAATCAAATTTTCTTCAAATACGGCATAATGTTGCACAAAATATATGTGCCGGGATCGATCGGTTTACATTGATGTCTAGCAATATCACCGCCTATCTGCTGACCGAGGTATTTTATGTCAGAATACGAGCTGACCCGAAAATATTCCCACATTTGAGTATCGGCTTACGACTGTCGTAATTACGATTCTTTAGCAGAGATATTTACGACTGTCGTAACTATTCCTATTCTTTAGTTAGAGCATTACAATTCTTGTACTTTTGTCGAAAAATAATCTTTCCCTGAAATACTGGAATACAATAAAACCGAGATCACCAGCCCAACAACACCCACAAATCTGTGACCGATTGTTCGGACATTCAGTTTCTGACAGAGACCATATGATCTGGTTCTGAACATCTAGGTACATACGTTTAAAAGCGGCGTAAAACCAAATCCACTCACTCACTCTCTCACTCACTATAACAAGTCAGCCAGATAGATAATGTTTAAATGGTGACACCTGGTGTTCTTATATACAGGTCGATAGTATTGCTTTAGAAATCACAGGTATTCATTTAAAAAAACAACAAAAGAAAAGGGCATGTTTTGCCTTGAACACCTCAGATAGTATTGCTTTAGAAATCACAGATGTATTCATTTAAGAAAACAACAAAAGAAACGGGCATGTTTTGCCTTGAACACCTCAGTCGAGGAGGACGCCATCACGACCATCTCGATACGTGCATATAAACCAAAAGTATTCAGCAAACACCTGGTGTTATTATATACAGGTCGATAGTATTGCTTTAGAAATCACATGTATTCATTTAAGAAAACAACAAAAGAAACGGGCATGTTTTGCCTTGAACACCTCAGTCGAGGAGGACGCCATCACGACCATCTCGATACGTGCATATAAACCAAAAGTATTCAGCAAACACCTGGTGTTATTATATACAGGTCAATAGTATTGCTTTAGAAATCACAGGTATTCATTTAA